GGCATAGCTTGCTCAGTCGCTCTTTTGTCGCTCATGACAGCTATGAAGAAATGTGTTTTTGCTGTCAAGATATTCACCGCTGAAATGAAACTTCCTTCTCAGTGAGTGAAACAGGTGGTTGGAGCTCAGAGCTGTTTTTTCTTACCGTCTGTGGGAAGGCACTTTGAGTGGGAGGCGTCATCTGATCATGCTGATTAGTGGATTGATGTCACAGCGTGCTCTGTACTGTACTGATGATGATTGCGATTGCGAAGACCTAGGTGTGTGTGTGGGGTACGCTTGTGTGTGGCTGTATACATGCGGAGTTTGTCTGTGCACTCCATGAGTGGAGTTTACTTCTGATCACAAGTCATAGACTTGTGATTTTTCTGTTTTAAAAAAAAGGGCTATTTACACCTTTTGTGTTTTGTGACTTTTTTTATTTTACTACTGTTCAATTATTATAAACACACACACTCATATACACACACACACACGTACACTTGTGTTAATGAAATGAAAAATGGAGAAAAATATATTTTTCCAGCACAACATGTTCTGTGTGCTCATACATGTCATCCATCACTTAAGCCTCGAGATCCTCGTTTATACTAATGTGCGCTCACCAGTTGATCTGATTAATACGCAGGAGAAATTGCCACGAGGATGTTGCCACATTGGCTGGTAGGTGGGCTTTTTTTTGCAAAGAATTACGCCTGCACCAAATAGCTACTCAAGGCTGTCTCCTTAAAGAGAAATCTGGGACAGATCCTATAATGAAAACTCACCATGAGGCTGATCAGATTATGGGACGATGTGGAACACCTACATTTGAGATTAAAGATTGCCCATTATACGCTCAGCTTGCTACAAGCCCATGCCCCACTTAGTGCTCCACTCAACCCTGATCCTGTTATAGTCTCTTACTCTTTTAAGGCCATGAATGTACATATAAATGTATATTTATATAGTCATTTTCATATATTATTTCATTGTATCTTTCATTTTTCTCAATGTATCACCTTATTTCCAGCTACTACACCACTGATGTATGCTCTGTTCATTTCAAATCAGTCCATATATATATTGAGACTTCGAGCAGCAGTATGTATTCTGCCACGATCGGGTGGGGATAGGGGGAAGAGATTAAACAAGAAGGTCAAAGCACAAAATTACAGTGCAGAGGAGAGTAGTGAAAGTTTGGAGTTACAGTCTTTTATGGATATTTTTATTCAAATGACTTTCAGAGACATTAGAAGGTTAGAAATAATGATATTTAGTTCAAATTAAAATTTGCCTTTCATCAAAGAATCATCAATTTTCACATTCTCGCAGCCATTTGACAATCTAGTGGCCAATTTGCCTAGATAATCTGGAAATATGTTACACCCCATGTTCCTTGAAGCAACCCTCATAAGTTAGATTGACTTGATGGCACTGTTTAGGTGTCATACAGTCAAAACTGTTCCCGCAGCTGCTCAGCAGGTCTGGGATCCAGTGGTTTTGCTGGACTCTGCATCGTAGACAGAACACCCGCTGACTGCCTCTATTCGCAATGAAGTGATTGCCTGCCTTGCCCCGAAAATCCTCACATTTCTTTCAGCATCCATGAAAGATGGCATCAAGGGCTCCCACAGCATCTTTCCACTTGTTCTGCATCTTCTAAATCTTCTTTTTCACCAAGACACCTGAACTATAATGCTCTGATATAGGTCATTGTGTCTTAGTGGTGCGTTCATATGTATTTATCTTTTAATATTGGCACAAAATGTTTTGTCATTCTTTTAAAGTTCTCAGTAGAAATGCAAAGTAGTGTAAAACAGAAAAAAAATAAACCACCTAAGAATTTTGCTTTTGAGGTTTGAGCAACAGAAGGGAAAAAAACCCAACTGTTCCATATTTATCTAAACACCTCCAGCAGGAACTCAGACGTCCATCAGAGCAGCCATCCTTTTCGATGATAAGTGGAGCCATGTCTGTCTGACATCTGTCACACATCTTAGAAGTGAGTAAAGACCCTTCCAGAATAACTAATCTTTGCTAAGCTGTCATTTGAGTGATACCAGCAGGAGACTAAGTGGCTCACAGCTCAAGTGGTGGTCTAGGGGTCTCAGCTTGAGCAGCTGTGTAGGTGTTTGATGGAAGGCGATGGCAGTTTATCACCTCCCGGAGCGGGAAAAGGGCAAAATGCATCCAACAAAATAAACGTGTGTACTTTGAACATTAGGGCCATTAAGCCATTTCACTCATCCTGGTCTTGTTGCCACGTTGTCAAACACTTGAGAACTAAAAGACGTTCTTGTATTAGGGCTTGACTGGAAATGGTCAAAGTGGGTGGGGGTTAGGTGAGGAATGTACCCTTATGACAGAGAGAAAGTGCAACACATAGTGACAGTGAAAGAGTACAGCTGTCGTCCATATAACGGAGAAAGCAAGCTGATGGCTCCAAGGTGTTCGTTGTACATGTGAAACAGCAGATAATCGTGGTTACGAGAGTGAGACATAGAAAGGGCGGAGACAGTAGGGTCTGTTCAGTGACAAAATCCAAAGCTAGAGGATCACACCGCAGGTGGACCATGTTTGGAGAAGTCCCAGCCATTCTCAGCAGGTCAGCCAAAGGTTTTCCTGCAAGAATTTTAGTGTCCCGGTCCCAAACCTGCCACTGTATGTAAACAGAGTGACACGGCACCGTTTACTGTCGCTCCTATGCTTTTGTTTCATCTCATTCTCATGCCGTGCAAACGCAATTCATAGTTTCTCACTGTTTTCAAGCATTTTAGCATTTTATCAGTGATTTCAAATGCATTTATACATACCTTGATGTCCATGACCAAAATAAACATAGTCTCTCTCTATATTGTAATAGTCATCATATCGTGTTGTGCCGTCAGAGCTAGCTGGGCTCCTGTCCATACGGCTTATGTCAAAGGGCTACATTCCTTTTTTAAGGAGTACATGTGACACGCAACGTTTATCAGAGACAACTTTAAATTTGAGGTTTCTCTGGCTTCACTCTTGGGGCCGTTGCTGAGAATAATCTCAACAGTCTTGTGCAACCAAGCAGATACGAAGACGCAGCAGCTTGTGCATGCTGTGAGATTTTATTCAGAGACTGAAAGTTTATATCGCCGGATTGTACAGAGCAATTTGAAGTGCCTTATCCAGAATGACATAAACAAATTGCTCTTTTATCCTAAAATCCCTGTTGCTTCTTCAGAGTGTCTGGCCTGAAAGTTGTGGATCGTGCTGCTGTGTGATGCACGTTAAAGAGCGTGTTTGTCAGCCTTCCTGATTTTATTTATTTATTGATATTATTTTGCCAGCTCTGGGCTACCATCACTATAAGTTTTAGGTTAACAGGAGTCCCCTGTTTCGACTGAACGAGCTAAAGAATTGAAATGATGTAGAAATGTCCACAGCTAAATCAGTTTGCAGGCACAGTGGGCTTTTTTAGTGGACTGCCAATCCTTTATGTATGTATTCTAAATTGTCTTCAAAGGCATTGTACTTTTACATGCAAAACCTATGTGTGTGTCTTTACGTTGAGATCAGGGGTCATCATTCATTCGTGTGTGTCTGTGTGTGTGTGCATGCACCTTGCTGTGTGGTGGTTTATTTTTTTTCTAACTGGCATCCTCAGCATGAACTCGACAGACTGGATAAAATATCATAACGCACATCAGGACAGATTCAGGCAGAGTGATTACCTATTTCTTTGTCATCACTTCTTTCTCTTTCAACAGCAAAAAGCTTCCAAAGACTCACTGAGACACAGAATTCCATGGAAGAGACATGATATACATACATTTTCTATCACATTTTGTAAATCTGAACCTTTTATCATTGTACAAAGTACAAATGTAGTATTACAAATTAGAATTTGACCAGTGTACAGCCAGGGTTTTTGGTTTTTTGGGGTTAAAAAATGATTAATAAAAAATCTATAAAGATGTGAATATTATAAACTGTGTTTCTAAGATTATATAACTGCAAAGGTAGAAGGTATAAATATGTGCATTTCTGGAGTGCGTCATTTGAAGAAATGGATTCTTGCCTTGGGAACTGAGTGACTGAATCCAAACTTTTACACAATGGAAAAACGTTCCAGGGGATTTGAAGAATGACTTGTGCAGCCAGAAAGAGGAAAAAAAAAAAAAGGAGCAATCCCCAAGAAGGGAAACCGAGGATGGGGACAAAAGCTAAAACTAGTTTCAGTGTGGCCGAAAGCTCCGAGGCAAGGGTTTCATTTTGATTTCACCTGTAAATTTATAAGGCTTCACACTTACCTTGAGAAAAAGGTGGTTCACCTGCTCTCTTGCTAGACACACTTTACAACTTTTTGCAATTTTAACATCACGGGAAAAATGTGTTCTGTAAAAAAAAAAAAAACTAATGTGCTGAGGGTTTGAGTTCTATGACCTGGTCTGAACTTCATGGGTCAGAAAACGTGTATTTAAAATGGAAACCAACTTAAAAAAAAAAGCAATCAGTAGCCTGCTGCAAGTGTTAAATGTACATTCAGGTGTTAATTTTTCATTTGCTTGTATATGTAGGTGCTCACTGTGTACTCACTCACTGTGGCTTGTGGCTTCTCTTGTAATAGGAAAAATAAATTTATTGTTTGCATTGTATATATCTATATGATATTACATTATATGTAATTCAGATGCAGTATATTTGAAATGTACATACACGATTAATAGCTATTCTCTGAATGTTTCCCCTCGACAATCCCTCGTTTATTCTCCCTCCCCTCCCCCCACTATGAAACTCCCTGTACAGTAACAATGGTAATATTTTTTGCTTTGATGCATTCTTGATCGATTATCTGTTCTGGACAATGAATCTGAGTGTTCTTATCACTGGCTACCTATGACACTGTAAGATGAACTGCATTAAGTGGTTACATTGTGCCATATCCTCTCGGAATGAAATTCGAATAAAAATATACGAAACGTGTTTGAAATTTGGAGGTTTTTGATTAACGGGAAGCACAGGATGAAACACAAACACTGTTGGCGTGTTTTCTAACTTTGAATTTTATTTTATGCATTTTTAACTTTTGGAAATGTACCAGGAAACAGAGAGGATGTTAACTCGAAGGGCTACCACAGTGGGGACTCGTTTTTGTTTGTTTTTTTCGTTCTTTTTTTTACAACCGAGAGATGGAGAGTTACAACCAGTGAGTATAATAAAGTGAGTACAACAGGGCAGCAGGAGAAAAAAAAAACTATCTTATGTTTATTCGGTGCTATTTGACAGGAAGAAAAAGAATTATAATTAAAGTGAGCCACAAATTGCAAATTCATGACTTTTTTTTTTTTGCTCAAATTAATTGAGTAAACATTTTCATAGCTTCAGTTTTAACAAACCGACTTATTAAGTCTGGGCATGGATCAAAGAGTTTTCCAAATTAGGGTTATGCTATGTGAAACTGTAAGACAAATCCTAAGCAATTTGCCCTTGAGAAAATAATTCTAGACATAACATCATTAAGTGGGAATGCGACTAATTAAATCTGATTATTTATCTCTATTGTATTACATCCTCTATTGCAACATACAAGTCTTTCTCCTCAGGTGCTAGAAAGAAGAAAAAAGTAAAACGTGGTCACTAAGAGTCATCTTCTGACTGATTTTTGTCAAAGCTATACGGGCTCCTACAGTCAACCTACAGGACACGTAAAGAGGAACCATGTTGAAATAGGGCCGTCTGTTCCGCTGTCTTCTTCCTTCTTCACCGGCTCAAACAAGCTCATCAGCCATTTGGGTGCGCTCTCGCTTCTTGCCTTCCTTCTTTTGCTTCTTTGCATCTGCAAGGATAAAAAGGTTAAAATTTGATAGTTTCTCTAAAAGTTTTTGTGAAAAGTTAAGATAACCTGTGCTCGGTAACAAAATGTATTAACTGTATGAGTTTTAATCTTTTTTTCGCCAGAGTTCACATTTTGTGCTGTGACGATTGTAGTTCTGTGCTCTCTTGGGGATTGATTTGGCAGCCTGGGTTGTACCCCATGAAAAACCACCTTATCAACTTGCCGCAACAGTGGCTTGGTACCTGGCTGCCATGACAGGAGCCACAGTGCATGGCTCTCCTTTCTGCTTTATGGCCTCTCCACTCTGGTAAACAGAAATAGAGCACAACCCTCAGAGGTTTGGACAGCTAGCTTCTGCCTAGCTGTGTGTTGGTCATTCAGCTGTGCTGTTTATTTTTGTTTGTGTCTGCGTGGCTCCATGTATGTCTATCTCTTAGCCAAATTGTTGGTGTCTTATCATTTTACAACTTTGATGTTTCGCATTTTAGCGCGCAGATGTTATATGTCTAAAAGTACCACATCTAACATCTGTGCAAATGGTTGTTTGGCAGGAAAATGGCTCATTTCATTAGAACATATTCTGCCAAGTCATACTGGGAACATTACAGGTGGAAATAAAACAAATCATGACTGAGATTCACTGGACAATAAATACAGCCATTTTTTTTAATCATGTGCATATAGAGACAGGAAAACAATTCATGGCTCTCAACTGACTTTGCTCTATATGAAGACTGCTTTTGCAAAAAAATAGAAAAAAGGGAAGAAAATGCCTAAAAGCTACAGTGTGGTGTGGTGCACTACCACAAGGGTAAAGAACCCAGAACTAAGTTTTGCAAGCTGCTGAACCGAAAAACTGAGCCTTAAGGAGACAAAGTGGATACAGGCAATAAAACAAGAGACCTCAGAAGGACAAATGACAATTCTGTGGAATCCCAATATTCGCTCTGTTTTGCAGCAAGCATTCTGTCAGTGAGAAGTAAAATGTATAAATGCCAATTTAGGACTACTATATTTACTTCAGGCTAAGCCAAAGCATTTTGAAAGTGTGCAGCAGCAGTGAGCTCCAGAGTTTTTCCTGGCTCAGAACAGGGCTTTGGGTGGTGACTATGTATGTTAGCAAAACCGGCCTGTGCAAATTCATCTATTTCCTTAGCCATTTATCCAATCCAGGGTCACGGGAGAGCTGGAGCCAATCCCAACAGCTATAGGGCAAGTACTCATCAAATGTAATGTCTTCACTATGAGTATTACATAATACTATATTGTGTCCAAAGACATGCAGTTAGGTTAATAGGTGATTCTAAATGTGTGTGGTTATCTGTCTCTCTGTGTAAACCCTGCGACAGACTGGCGACCTGTCCAGGGTGTACCCTCCCTCTCACCCTATGATCGCTGGGATAGGCTCTGCGACCCTTATAAGGATAAGCAGAAGAGAATGGATGGATGCATCTTAACAAATCACAGCTCTTAAAGAGCAACATATGTCTAGTTAGCAATTTGGAAGCAAATGTTACTTATGTGGAGAATTCAGAGAGCTATGAATATTGTGCTTGGAAGCGTCTCAGCAAACTGACTTAGCACAATAACAGGGCCTTAAAGCCTTATTTAAAAAAAAGATTCAGTCTTTAATTGTGCGCATATCAAAGCTTGTTTTAGAATACAGACAGTGCAGTGGCATCTGCACTCCCTCTCAGCAAGAAAGTGGTTTTTGAAAATGCTACAACCTAACCATGAGTCTGTCAAGGTAGCCGCACTGCCGTGACTCATCTGGACACTTCAAAGGAACAAAGCCATGCTTAATATTGTTAGTAAGACCTGTGCTTTCCCCACGATGACAAGTTAAAATGGCTGGTGTGAAAAATGCACATGGATAAGGTTGAATAAAAATAATACATTTTGCTCCTTCTGCACTTTTCATCATCCTCTACATGTTTGAAGTTCTTAGGTGTTTGGCATGTCTAATCTCTGACTATAAATCGTGTTTCAAAGTAAGATTTGTCCAGCTTAGGACACGTTGAACGGCGATGTCAGCCATCTGCATCCAAAGCACATGCTCTAAACAAAAGAAGTGACTTGGCAAAGTAGAAAGTGATGGTGTGTGATGAAAATGACTGTCATTATAAGATGTCTGGAAATCCAGCAGGGACAGTAACATACAGAAAAGCTACATTGTGATTCTGTATGCATTCACTTTGTGCACTTTTGTTTGGAGAGATTGCCTTAAGAAATTATCTTAGCCTAATAACGTGCTGGCAAGCAGTTCTAAACGCCTTTCAGCCTTTCAACATTCTCAACGTGCACTACCAGGAAAAAGCCGAAAATCTCTTCTTGTCATCTCAGTTGCAAACTTCCACTGGCATAAGAATCTTGACATGCAAAGCGCTCTCGCCCCTGCAAATACAGAAATTACTCTTCCATGCCATTTGTTTACTTGTTTTTTTATTTGTTTCCTCTCTCTTCATCTCCCTGCTGTTTTGTGTCAGCATATTTTGCTCCCTGGAGAGAGAGAGAGATGGAAGAAAAGGATTTATGGTCATGCTGTTCTCTCAGCTCCATATATGAGATGTGGACTCTCATGCCAGGTTGGAGTACTTTCTGCTGCATTTGCACATTGCATGACTCTGCTCCTTTTTGCCTCTGACACAGACTCATAATCAGACCCTTGCTGCCTTCTCCAGCTCGAATCTGCCCTGAGCCAAAACACAGTGGCTACATATTTGCACAAATTTCAGGCTTTTTGCATTCACTTAATAAAAATGCACATATTAAAGTAAAACTTGCATATTAAGTTAATGATATAGGATAACTGTAAACTATTTATCTACTTTATACTTCTGCTTCACAGGAAGAAAATGATACTGCTCCACATTATTGAATCACAAAGTAAAAATTAGCTCCGCCTCAATGAAATGCAATGTTACTATTTGACATCCACCTTTTCACCCTCATTTGATCAAACTTTCTGTGTTATTTTCTAATTAAAACATTATTCCAACAGTAGCTAAGGACACAGTATTATCAAGTTTTTTGTTTTATAATTTATTCTAATTGTTTTGCTTCTCAGACTTTCATTGAGGTGGAGCTGCTTAGACAGCTAAAGCAAGAGAGCTGGAGTATGACACTGATGCACATGCCATCGGTGTCATAAAAAAGAATAAAAAGGCATTTTATTACTTATTACAACTTTATCAATTATAAAGTTTGACCACTCTCAACCTCAGTTTTCGCAGCTATGCCTCTTCGCCTTTGGGAGGCAGTAATCCTGAGTGCAGTAACACAACCATATGTGGCTGTGAATGCATGTCTTTGACTTAAAAATGAGGACACCACCTGTCTGTTCAAGACGAATGGCAGAAGCAAATTCACTCCAAGAAGATCCAGAGATGCCAGATTTCTCCTAACAAAGCCTTTTGTTTTACCTGAAATCAACTTTGGCATGCAAAGACTCCCTCACGCACTGCTCTGTGTGTTGTGCTGAAAGAGAAGGTGGGGACCTTGAGATTTCTACAGGTATTCATAATGTTTCTGTCAGTCTTTGTTCTCTCTTTCGCTCCAGAGGGTCTGTGTTTCACCTGGACTAGACAGCAAAGACACGCAACTCTGGATCTCAGATTGCTCCCAAGGTGCCTCTTACCATTGTCTCCTTCAAAATCTGCAAATGACAGATGCTGCCGCCACAGCAGCAACCCTGCTGCCCTCAGGGAAAACCCGGCTGCATCTCCTAAACCTAAAGTGGCTGGTCAGGATTACATATTTGGCTGGGCAGACATGTTCTCCCAGCTGGGGGTTAGATGGTCGCTTCTTTCTCTCACTTTGTCTCTCTAAGGCAAACATTTCTGTGTTGGTTTGTTTTTCAGGGTCTTTTTTCCCCTTTTCATAAGCCCTCTGATTCTGCTGCTGTGGACTGTATCTCTGCCATCCCCTGACTCACAGAGTAGAGCATGCACAATTCCCCCTACCATGTGAACCTTATTGTGCACAGCACCCCCTCTCTGTTTCCTAGTAGCTCCCCTGTTTCCCAAGGCTTATCTTCCAACTGGCAGACATGGGATATCACACCTCGCACAGATATCGAGTCTCTCTTCCCAACTGCCTCCCTTCATGTCTGCCCCTGTCATCCTTGCTCTGCATCTCTTTTGCCCTCAGCTCTCACACCTCTTAGGTTGTCACACCGCATCCATGCATCTGGCTTTAATTGATGTGCAGGTATGCGGTGCTGCACACATGACTGCTAAACAAATAGATTTTGACACAGTCACAGACTATATTTAAATACATGCTGCACTTTTTTACTTGCGCTGCGCCTTGAACTGATGTGCAGTGATATTGTCTACATGTTTAATGTGGATATAATCAAGCATCTCTAAACGATTGATAAGAATTTAATGAGGAAGTCATATTTGATTTTGTTTAATTATGTAAATTAATCATTTGGTTCCTTATGAAACACTCAAACTGAAAAAAACCTGCATGTCCATAGTTGCACAGATAGATGAAGGTCTGAGAAGTATAAATGAGCACACATTCAATTTCACATTAAGTAAAATATTATTTTGAACAAAATGGATTCAATTACTTTCTATACATTCTAAACATAAATCCACATACACCTTTAAGTGTTTAAAAGTATCATATACTTGCTGTAAAGAGTGAGAGATGGTAAGTAGAGTGCATCTCTTCAAGATGTTCCTACTGTCACTATGTATTAACAATGTGCTACCAAGAGAAATGCTCAACTGATCCCTCTTTTGAAAGTCAAATAGTGTGTGGCAAAAAATCTTAAGACAAACAGTGTTGCAGACAGATGTGCAACATTTCACAGCACTGCAGTGGCAGACGTGTTGCACTGAGAGGGTCTCTCAGAAGTGCTCACATTGTCTTATCTTTGCAGAGCGGGACTTCGCCTGACTGTGGTTGTTTGATAAAGCGATGGTAAGGTTAAGTAAACTGTATGTGCAAACTTCATGTGCACGTGTGGCATCTGGGGAGTGTGATAAGGTTGCCGTTTATGGCCACTGGCAACATTTTGTACTCATTATAATCCTGTTTGGACAATGGAACATCCTTGTTTACAAAACTGACAAAAAGCACCAACTCATTTGGAATGAATCGAGTGCTTCTCATCAACAGTTTTGCCTCAATTTTTCAAGCAGGCAGGGATATATTGTAGATATTCCATGTTTCTTTCAGATTTTCTAATTACCTTGTATCTTATAGCTCCTTAAATGTTCTATAAATTGATTAATTCTCACATTCTCTGTGAAATGGAGGCCAAAAGTATTCCTCAGTTTAGTGTCTTATACATGACTGAAGAAAGCTAAAAGCTTGTACTTATAGCTGAATAATGAGTTAACCTATTCACCCTTGCTTTAACACTGTCTTTCACAGCTCCAACTTAGCACTTAAGTAGGAGGGTTTCCATCATACTGATGGCAGATTGAATATAAATTTGAATCACAGCTGGCTTTGCCTCGATTAAATCATTTGCAAGGGTTTGCTGGATTTAGTGGAGATGCAATCAGTCTGAGATGTGCAGGAGACAAGATAAATATCTCCTGAATTTACACAGTTATTATCACAACGAGGATAGAATTAGTTCATTCTCCCAAATACCTTGATACATACTTTGTACTACTCTACTGACGCCAATCCGTCCTACTTAAAATGAAGCCCAAGTAATTTTGCCTTTGATTTTGACCCATGTGTCGTGACAAACAAAAGAGGCAAATGTGCGGACGTGTCAGGATACAGCGAAGCACTTTGGCAGAAGAAACAAAGAGGTCTGAGCGGTAAGCATACCTTCAGCTACGATTAATTACAAAAACGAAGTGATCTGACATTGCCCGTAACTATTTACAGTGATCTAACAGTGAAAGTCCCGGAATGATTTTTCATATAGACCACGTGTCTGCGTGGGTCTGGCTTTTGATCTAAACCAACCTAATATCATGTGAGTTTCCTGGAAAGTAAACAGTTTTCAAACGAGCCCAAAAAAGGCCAGTGTTGTACGTAGGGTGGTTTTCAACAGATCTGTCTTACATTACAAATATTGAAGGAAGTTTATGAATGTGGCTTGTAAAAAAGGCTTTGTCCTGCTTTAATTTCACCCCAGATTTATATTTTACGATGATATTTTGATTCCTTCTGTAAATATTTTGAATTGGCGTTTTCTTTTAGGTACAACTTATATAATAGGAAGCAGACAGTTCCTATATTAGCACGCTAAATTCTAACCAATAAGCGGTGCACTTTTCTGTACACCCCTATTTCCTACACATACCAAATAAGGCTGTCAGATGAAACTAAAACAGCAAACCAGTAGATCCTATAATAGCCGGACTAATTGAGCCTCACTGGAATTTGTAGAATTTTTTTGATGTACTTGGCACCAGCTTTACACATACTTGGCAGGTGTAGGGCTGGTGGTCAAAGTGAGTGCACGTTGTGGTCTGAAGTTGTTTAAAAGAGCAGTTGTCGAGGGAAAAAAGGCCAAGAAATACAAACACAGATTCCTTCATTTATTAGTGAGATGTTCCACAGACTGAGTAAATATTCACGGGTAGGTAGCCAACAGAATTGTGACTGCTTTGAGGAAAAGAGATTACAATTTGAAATTTCCACTAAGGCTCCATTACTCAGACTATTTTGGGATCTGCATGTATTCTGTCTTACTGGGAATTTAATGGAGGGTTTACAACACGCTCGTCTCTCTGCTTTCATTAGCCACCCACAAGGTGTAGTCTTGGAACTGGAGGTGTACTTAGCCAGCGAAGGAATTTCATTTCCAGCAACTTGAAAGATGCAATATGGGCTGTACAATGTGAGTCATCAGAAGCTGCTGAGCTTAGCTGCTAAACAACAACCTTGTTTTTTAAAAAATACAAAAGGTAGGAAATACTACATTTGATGTATTTCTAATTGAAATGTTAAATATTTACCGATTACACATTAAAGTAACACCCTCCTAACTAATATGGAAAGTTTATTTAGCTAATATTATTAATTACTTTATATTAGATCATAGATAACTTCTTGGATGTCATAGGGCCAATGTAAAAGGTCACATGCATGTTTCTGACAAGCCAGTTGCTTCGAGTCGCATTCATTTTTAGAGTAGAGCACGCTCTCGGATCAGTAACGAAACCTTTATTTTAAAACGTCCCTCTCTATATAACTAATAATAATGATATACGAGACACTAGATATGACATTATAATTAACTATCAAGGAACGATTTTTACCAAAAAGCTAATCTCTTTAAAAGTAATAGCAACAAAATGAGTAGTACAAGATATCACATTTTTGGACATGGTGATTCAGCATAACAACTTTAGCGCATCCCACCTTTCGTGACCAGCTCAACATGGGAGAGTTGCATTTTATGCAGCAAATGTTTTATTTCTGTCATCTTACCTTGCAGCTTGGTTTTAGGGGTTTTCCCACAAGGCTTGGTGGCTGTGACGGTGGCAGCGCAGGTCGCGTCCATGAGCGCTCGCTTTAGCACTCCCGTTCTGTTCTTCTTGCCCGTTGCCAGATCGCACTCCCCCCAGGCCTGGAAGTCGTACTTGCATTCACCTATCAAGTAAAAAAGACATCAGACTTTAAATCACCTGCTTTTTGTTAGTGAAGTCGCTCGAAGAAAGAATGGTATGGACGGGTTCAGAAAGGAAACCTGCACATCTTACATTTGTTTTTAAAAGGAGTTCATTGTAATCAGTGACTGTAACAAGCCTCTGAGCCTGGGGAGTGCTGAGTCATTGACTTTGAATGGGTGTTTGATGAGCAGTTGCCTACCCTCTTCCATCAAGAGAAACTGTCCACCGCTCACAAAGTGCCTTCATGAGACCATTTTCTTAACAACAAAGTAAAGTGTGTTTATGTTTTTTCCTGCTGGAGTCGGTGATGCTTCACAGTTTGAGTCTCATATTCTTGATATGATGAAACCTTCTAAAAGATGAATGTAATCAAGCAGAGCCTGGCTCCCGGATAGATGTCATTTTAGAGGAGGACAATTTTATATATTTACATATTCGTGATGTTTGGGGCGAGGTCTTGCTGGTGCTTTCATTTCATCATACATTTTAAACAACTTAAATTCAACCAAAAGAAGTGCAAGATTTCTCTAGACGGATGGCAACAGTCGCTAATGCACTGTATGTTACGGATATTGGTTTGAAAAGCATGCAGGCGTGTGTACGTTAGTGTTTGTTTATGTACTGTATGTCCATGTCCCACTTATCTCTCTCCATTAATTTTTTTTCCCCAGTCTAGCCGGGTTCCCTCGAGGATGTGACACTCATTCTTCTGCCTCCTCTCTCATCAAAGCATCAGCGCCCTTGTCACTGCTTCTGAGATCCCAAGGTGCTCATCAGAGGAGGGGAGAGGTGGGAGAAGGGGCAAGGAAAAGAGGGGCGAAGAGCGAAGAGGGGGAGTGACAGGGCCATTGTTGCAAGAATCCTACAGGGACTTCCTGAGCAACCAACTTTAAAAACCCTATGCCTCCACAGCTGTAAATTGTCTTGGAGAGAGAGCTCCCTTGCTGACTACCAGGAATTTGTCAGGCAGCTCATGTATTCTGTAAGGTGTTTCATACAGTGTAACATACAGTATTTGTGCTGGCAAAAATGATGGTTGCAAAAGTGTGAAAACACCCCCTCATGACTATTCATTAAACCAAAGTCACAAATCACTGAATATAATTTGTTAAGCAGTGAAAAAGACCTCAGTCATAACTCATTTCTACAGAGCCTAAAGAAACTGGAGTGCCATCAGATAGAAACAGCATATATGCAAAATGAAATATCTTTGTGAAACAGCCAACATTTTGCTTTTGATGTTGTTTCATACATTTCACCATCACTAAGATCATCCCCACCATCTATTCTTCATATCACATACTCTTTATTTCTGGAATGATTTCTAGTTTAAGTCCTTCTTGCTTTCAAAATCTTAAAAAATATGCACATAAATTTTATGTACCGTACCGTGTTCATGAGTCATCCTAATTTCCTTATATTTTGCTTCCAACAAGATTTTTTCCCATTTTTAAAGTGGTCTTAAGGATTTTTTTTTTGGTTTTTCAAGCTATTTAATACTGATCTATAAATATTTCAAGGATAAAAAAAGTCACCTTTCTTTTTCAAAGAACCACATCATTTGCTCTCTTCTCTTTTTTTAGTTGAATGTATATAAAATGCCAAAGATAATACACAGTGTGACGGATAAAAATAAGCAATTTTGCACCAACAAGGTGATTCCTAAAAGCTATTAACTGAAAACTTGCTATAGCTCAAAAAAACATGAATGGTATGTGAAAGTCGTGTCTTTTGCTGGAAAAGAAATGCAGCAAAGACCTGACACAGGACCTGAGAGACACGGCCATTTCTGATGACTACCTGATCCATCTACTCATCAGATATGGTCTCAGAGGAAGTGTGCCTGTCAGTCATTTAAAGGAAGGGAAAAGGCTGAGATATGCTAAATTACATAAGAATTGGACTGACTGCGACAACATGTCTTGGGGAGTGATAGATCTCAATTTTAAATGTGTGTTTCTAATCATCACGAGTATGTATGGAGGACAGGAGGTCAGGAGAGAGGTACAACAGTACAGTACAGTAAAAACATGGTGGAGGCTCTGTCATAGTTTAGGGCTCCATTTCAGACAGTGTTGTATGCTAGAATTGATCGAATTATGAGTATAGAAAAGCATGCTTGGATAGAAAAACATACAATGGAGCACTGTCAGTCATGGATTGGTCTGCCCAGAGCTTAAATAACATTATCGAAGCAATGTAAGATCGTGCTGACAGAGAACAGAGAAAAAGGCAGCCAACATTCAAAGAAGGATGGTATAAACTAGTGTTTTTCCCTTATATACTGTATATTCTTGTATGTGCACGTCTACATTTCATCACTGCAACATTTTCCCATTTTCTGAGCAATATAGAATAGAATAGCCTTTATTGTCATTGTACAGAGTACAACGAAATTGGAGTGCCACTCCTTTGGTGCAAGTTTCAATAATAAATATAAATGTAAAATATAAAAAGTACAAAAAAAACAATCGTAAGTACTCAAACAATAGTATGTACAATATATATAAAGAAACAAGTGATGTCTTGAGACTTTTGCAAAAATATTGCATGCTTGTGTTGGTTGTATGACATATGAGTATATGGGGATGGTCATATATTATATGGAGTGGGCAGAATTTGTTCTATGACTAACCATTAATCCCCTTTCCTGGCAATAAGAGATCCAGTTATTTATTAATTTTAATTCCTTTCCTGCATTTTCATTTCCACCTAATAAAGAAGCAATGTGCTTGTGTTTTTGTGCTATGAAAAACCTGCATATGCTAACAGTTTTATAGAAATGCACCATGGAACCAAATATTTCTACTTCCTAGTAATTCTTCTCCATTCAGCTCTCACATAGCTGCTTTCTGTGGATTCATATTGTATCAGCCACTTCAGCACTCCATATGACTTATCTCTTTCGGTTTATTATAATGAGACCCATTAGCTGCTGTGTTTGTTACCTTGGTCACCAGTCCCATAGGTACTCGTCTTTTTTGTGTCATGCTGCTGGAAACCCCAGTTTTACAATATTGTGCCCACCTCTTATATTAATATTTATTCTCCTCGCATCACTGTGTTATACTTTGGCAAGAGGCAAAGAACAGTTTGGGCTGTGTGCTGCAAACTGGAAAACCAACGTTAACCTAGTTTTCACTAGTTGGTTTTTAAGGGTCTTTTGGGTCTTAGTATTCTAATTAGATGTAAGAGTTTTGCCAGATGGGATGTCAAATCTTTTATGCTCAGGACTCTTAGAACTATACTAAAAAAAAAAATCCCAGTTTTTCATGTCTCTTTTAAGACTTCATAGCTAAAGGCATATAATACAGCTCCTTATTTGAGTACGCTACCTACTAGAGCTTAGATAATAAGTGTACTAGTAACATAGTATATTAATTAATGGCAAACAGACAATTTACTTAGGTCTATATTTGGATATGCTGCAGCTAACAGCCAGGGTTGAAGTAGAGGGTCTTTTCACACCTATTCTTACAGGTTCTGTTATCCATTTTTTTCAAGTACAAAAGTATCCACACTTAAAACGACACTGCTCTCATTTTGCAGGATTCCCAGCCAAGAGGGCCAATTCACACTTTTAATTTTTTTTATTTTCTAAACTAACTTTCCACAGTTTCAAACACGCAGATGTGAAACTTAACGCCACTCCTCCAAAACTTTTCTTGCAGTAATCTATGTAGCCAGTTAGCACCATTATTTCCTGCAGTGTGTTCACCATTCGTGACAGGCTCATTGCAGAGCAGCAGGCTCTTGCCTGACAGGCCTTACTGTGGGAACAAATGTCCTACAGGCTTGTCACTGCAAGACATTTCGGCTGTAAAAGCCTCACCGTCTCAAGCCCAAAAAAGAAAATGACAATGCCGGGCAATTATTCCTATGTTTTCCATGACAATATATTATATACTGCATAGATGTTTTTGTTGTACCTCTAATTAGCTAGCTTACTCATTCCTATTCTGAAAATGGGACCATTGTTTGTGTAAATGACGGGCCACAATAAATCATCGGGAGACGTGGTGGGAGATGGATGGCATCCATGTATTTGTACAGAAGGAGGGGAGTCCTGGGTCATTTAGAAGGCATAAATTATTTAAAAACCTAAAACAGTAGGTATTCTAAATTCTACTGGGAAAAGTAGATCCTTCTTTTCCTACTTCAACAAAGCAAAATGTGAACATTTATCACCTCCAAACTTCTTTTTCCAGTTGCACGGGATCTTGCAGCGCTGGGTCTTGATGGTCTGCTTGCAGTCAGTGCCGGCGCGCGTTCCCTCCCTGGTGCCAAGTCCACAGTCCCCTTCGTTGGCTACGCACACACTCCACTGCCAATCCCCACAGTCTGACTTGCGTTCCTTCTTTCCTGTAGAATCACATCCATATTATAACACAACATCAAAATAGATAGCGCTGAGCAGGAATCCCCATGAACGTCTGTTTACAGATCTTGTAAAGAGCTGCTCACAATACCTGACGAAAGACAACAAATGTCACTACTTTTAGGCTTAAAACAACATAATTTGGGTCCCAAGACAACACAGAAGGAATCAAATCTCGAGGCATGAATTTAGCGAGATGTGAACTTATCAGGTCATCTCTACTAAGGCTAGTAGCTACAGGTTGTATTACTTCTATCAGTATAAAACAACTGAAACTTAATGAAGTGAGAGGGCCAGAGCTCCACTGAGGGTAATCTAAAACATAGACTAAACCGATGATAGTGCTTGTTCTATTACACTGATTTTTGTACTTGCTGCCAAAAGTTAATGAGAGCTCACAGTGCACTCATACACTGCTGACCTAAACTGGTGAAGAACTGTCTGAAAAAGCAAGGCTGTTTTTAATTCTTCTTTTAAGCTGAGTTTAGTAGCAAGTATTCCAAAAAAGGGGAAAGTTTAAATTGTTAATTAAATGAAATAGTGTTTCAAACACCCCTTGATTGTTGTTCATTGTGTATTTTAGGACAAACAAGGTGTGTTTTCCTTTTGTTTTGTTTGTAATTTCTTAAAATAAATGAATATAGAACAAATAATATAGTATTCCAATAACATGGTTCTCCATTACTCATGTCAACTCCTGAAATGGTGCGTGTTCAGCCAGACACCCGCGTGATTCTGTTATCTTGTATTCTAGAGGGTCAAAACTTGAGATTTTAACATCAGCTGTGAAGTTATTTCCCACAGTGAAATATGATTTAGGTCTTACATCAATCTTGCTCGTGATTTTTATTTATTAAATCTTCTGTTTATGAATTCCTCGCTTAGCCTTCTGCAATTGCAGACCAACTTCTGTTAGATGGTAGAAACTGGAAGGATAGATGGATGGTTGGATGTTCGTCTGTTAAAGTACCCCCTTTAGGACTGTATCACATTATTTTAAGGCGGCTGTAATGAGTTTAGGTGTTTGCACTAATTTCCAATGCAAATTAACTTTTTTCCCCTGAATTTAAATTAGGTTAAATGTGTTTTCTTTACCCAAGCGGGATTACTCCACTTTTTTTTTGTTCCTTATTGCAAATTATTCCTATTTGTCTCTTGTTAATTCTCATAGGAGACCAATTATTTTATCCTCAAAGTTGTATTTTAAAAATTATATTTGTATTTTTTGAAGAGTTTTGTATGACTAAATTAGTTGTTCAACAGGACAGTGAAATGTGACAGCATGCACACTGCTTAATTTAAGGTTAACTAACACTTTTCCTCTTTATCTTCTGACTTATATACTTAACAGTTTGAAGGAATCACCTTGTTTTTCTGCTTTGCCTCCTTCAGCTGCAATCACTGTAAGCACCAGGAGTGCTATTGCCACCCGTGTCCACTGCTTCTGTCCATTCATTCTGAAAGTCCCAAAAAGACAGATGTTAGCAGGAGAATCCTACTTCTTCACGGTTTAAATGTTACAGATCAAGATCAAGCGGTTATTCTGTGTTCCTTAAAATACCTTTTCTATAAGCAACTATAGTCAGCTAATCCACTCCCTTAGTTCACACCAGACACAAAACCCCAATCCCAGCAGGTAATCTGATATCATTGCCACTCCACATCAGTTAAAGCTCAGATCATTTTATTCTTTGAATCCTATAGGCAGTTGGCATATCTGCAAGCCACTTTGCAACCATCATTTCCTCAGCTTCTCCATTCCATGCTGTCTGGCTTCATTAGCATTATGGATGTTGCCACTGATATGTGATTTTAGGTTTTTTCTACCAACCTGCCTGTGCTCTGAATACCCTTAGGTTTCCATGTATGCATGTGGGAGGGGATGTTCTAACATTTCAAAGCTCTGATTTAAAAGAAAATACACCTGAAAAGCAATCGTCATGCAGCCATCCATCACACGGATCAACAAGAACATCCTGCAAAATCTCGTTTCATGTTAGCCCCACAGTGCTGGGGTCTGAAATCAACATTTTGTTTGTCTGCACTCAAAGTAATTTGGTCTCGGTGTTGGTGAAATGTTCACTATACGGATTTCATTTATGTCAAATTTAATGTCAAAATTCTCTTTTTCTACACCCAAAAGAAAGAATCCTGAATGTTATTGAGTTTCTCACTTAATCTGTTTTTGGATTGTCAGTCAAGTTAAGTTGATCCTTCTGGTCACTTTACTGATGGATGCAAATATACTGTAAATAGCCCATAATTTATAATTATCTGACCCACACTAACTGAATGATAGAGTTCATTGTTGTACTGCCTAATTAGATATAAGATGCCCAAATTACTCAGCCAACACATGTACAACATATAGCACAACATATTTGTTCTTTTTCTTTTAATATAGATACAATCATTGTTGAAATTCACAGGTATTCTTATTTTTTGCCATCATAAAATGCAATATTCCCAGAGGCTCGAGAGACTTGAGATGCTTTGAGTCCAGGCTTACTGAGGTGCAAAACATTTGCTCAAGAAAAGATTATACCTGCAGCAAGAAAAGAGCAAGGAAGCAGAGGTGACCTCCATCATGTAGCCACTGTACAATTATTGAAACTGTTGAGAAATGTAGCCATCTGCCTCATTTTTGTCCAGTGCAGCTGACATTAGAGATTCAAAATCTAGCTGATTTATGATTTCATAAATCAAACTAAAGCCATGTTTCATATTTCCCGACCTTATTTAGTCCTCCTGCTGGTTTTGGATTGGCAGAAAGCTGTTACTGTCACTACCACTAGCCTAATGCACTAAGATGAAATTGCTGCAAAAAGCTTACTTTTTTTTGCTCTACTGCCCTCTCCTTTTTTTCTGAGTGAGATCCTCTAGCCGACAGCACTCTCTGAGGGGGAAACAGCATGAGACTGAAGCAATTACAAAGTGTCTGACGCCAGAAACGCTCCTCTGGGCTCGAATTCTTGTAGAACAGTTCAGCCTGGCAGGGAAATAATATACATTTGTCATTTTTAATTAATCACGAGCTGGATCTGAGCCGTCCATCCTATTGTGCGTTCTCAGCTTTTCATTTCACTCACTTAAGATTCCACATAAGTTGAGTCTATGGCAGTGAGCGCCTCTGAAATGTAAAGGCATTCAAATGTTATATTTAATTATTTGCTGCTATTGAAGTAAGTTTTATCCCGGAGTTAATGTCTTCCAGCACTTCTCTGAAATTCATAATGGACCTTATGCCAGCGCCTGTAGTTTGCCTAGCAGATTGTTTTTATACTTTACTGAGTGCTCAGCTCACAGAGAAGCCCCGTTTTGATTAAATACTTCAGACTCCGTCTCCCAGTTTTTAAGAGGTCCACAACTATTCATCTCCATAACCCAAAGTATGAAAGGGGGGAAAAAATTTGAATCCCAACTGTAAGAAGTATGTACAATGATTTCTAAAAGATTCATAGAGAAAGCCCAATGAAAGCACACTGATAAAGATCATTTTCCAAGAAAAAGGCATTGTGGCCTTTCAAAAGATAAGAAAGCCGTTCCCTGAGTTAGTCACACAAAGAATGATAGGCTTTTGGTGCAGTGCAGGCATAATAATAGGGGACATGGCAGATGACTTTGAATGAGCACTACATACAGCAAGTTAAAGTAAAAATATGTCCTGGAATTGAGCTGACTTAACCATTTCCTCTGTAGAAAGTGGATCCTGGGAGACAAGTTCTTCCTCTTCGAGAAGTTAATAATTTAAATGAAAGTCACTGTACCTGTTTTCAGAGCATGACAGCACCTATAATGGATGGATGGGTCTGAGCATTTGACTATACTTCAGTAGGCATGTGTGCTGCCAGTGTTCGACTTTGATAAGAAGCCTTCCAAAGTGCCGTCTTAAAGGACAAGCGCATATGCTTTCCATAAATGCTTTCTCTCACTTTCTTTACGCTCAGAGGCACCTACAGCTCTACACATTGACAGAAAGGTAAAGACTCGGCTCCTGCTACAACCTGAGCACAAACCAGCCTTCTTTCATGACTCACACCCCTATAGTTTGACTGAACCAATGGGGGGTTTGTAAAAAACATAATTCTCCAAGGTTCCTCAAGTCACCTCTTCCCTCCGTGTAGCCAAAAGAAAATTGGTGTATTCAGATAAATACATACAGACTCCAAATAAAGGAAAGATATAGCTACTGTGATGTAAGTCGATTGGTTTATAAAGTTCTGTTTTGAATTCTCATCTTAAGCAATTCAATTTTTTGCTAATTTTTTTAAACTGGTCAACATGAAAGGTGCATCTAACGAGAAAAATAGGACACTGCATGCTTAACTTCGTTTATTGCCCATTTTACTCCCATTTTACTAAAATGGGAACTTTTTTTTCCAAGTAAGACATGAAACTTGCAATTAGGATTACACTCATCGACTACTTTCTTAGATAAGCCTGTTCAACTGCAGGGCAAGTATTTAATCAGCCAATCACATGACAGTAGCTCAATACAATTAGGCAGGTCGACATATTCGAGACGAACCAGGTGAAGTCAAATCAAATATCAGAAGACGAAGAAAAGTGATCTAACTTGATCTGAGTATTTCAGGACTTGCTCATCCTGAAACGATCTCTAAGGTTTACAGAGAATTACCCCAAAAAGACAAAATATCCATTGTGAGGTAGTTTTCTGACTGAAAATGCCCTGTTGATACCAGGCTGCTTCCGGAAGTAATGAAGCTAACACGAAGCAAGGTATGCAGAAGAGTACCTCTGAATACAGAGCATAGCAAACTTTGAAATAGATGGGCTACAGCAGCAGAAGATGATACCGTGTGCTGCTTCTGTCAGCTAAGAACAGGAAACAGAGTTACAGTTCACACTGATTCACCAGAATTGCACAAAAAAAACTTCCCCTGGTCTCACGTGACTCCTTTCTGGCATTTTCTTTCATTTTTTGGCATGAACAACATGAAAGCCTGGATCCTTGTATGGCTGTGTCAATGGCTGTGCCATGCCGCAAGGCTCAAATCATCTCAAACCGGTGTTTGAACATGACATGTCATGTTATGTGTGAGTGTGTGTGACTGTGTGCGTCTGTATTTTAAACTGTAAGGTGTACCTAATAAAATGTCCATTGGGTGTAGAAGCCTATTAGAAAAATGTTGATGAAGTGAAAGTGAAGTGAGCAGGCCATGTTTTTTTTCTCTACATTCAGATGTGTTTGAAGAAGAAAAGAAAAGTCACTTCTGTTTGTCATTAGAAAAATGCAGGAAGCCTTTTTGATTGGTTTCATATTTCAGACTTTAATATTACATCCATCTTTTATGTCTAGTCTATAAAAGATTATCATAAAATTCTTAGACATTTTAATGTTCAGCTAAAGTTGATACCTAAGTAGCCTGACACAAGAGAGCAAGAGTCATTAATCATCGGCGAACTTATTATTGCCAGATTCCAAACTAGATATTGAAGGCAGGAAATTGCTGTAAGTAAAGGTTTAGTGAAGTGGTGCTTTTCAAATAAGAGATTTTTTTTTGCCCTCAAGGTTGTCTTTGGACAATACCCCTCACTGCCCGTCTTTCCCCAGTGCAGGAACAGGAGAAGTGAATGTTTGCAAACCTCAACAAAAGGGGTTACTTTAGCTGGAACATCAGAAACATCCTGTGGTTGATGTGGCTCATGAGCCACTAAGAATGAGCCCTATCAAACCCTACCATTTGCCCCATTGATCCAAACAAATCTGTGAGTTTGCTGGTGAAAGAAAAGGAGGAGGAAAGCCAGTACCGGGCACAGATCGATGGATCTTCAGTGACTCCTCACATGCTTCAATAAATACGAACAAGATGCTCCTCCACTCCACAATAACCCCGCATTCAAAACACATCCCATCTCTTTCCCCTCTCTCGCGGACTGACGTAATCCCTGCTGAGAACATAAAGGAGAATCTATTTATACGATCGGATCCTTTGGTTGCGTTTGATATGAAGGCAGGAGGCGATGGAGTCAACAGTGAAGGAATAAAGGAGAGAGCAGTTTAATGAATCAATTATATGGCCCAAGAAAAGGGGAATTGCTCGGGTTATTAGCTGTACCGGCTGAGCAAAAAGTATTTCCACCATTACCCTTCTGTGAAGAATAGATTTTGGTTTCTTTAATTAAAGCTGTTAACCTCTCACAATCCAGTTCCTAATCAGAGAACTTGTATAAATACATTTGGGGAGCATGCAATTAGGCAACAGCTCCTCTGTGTGTTTATAATGAACACAAATATTACCATAAGACATATGTATACATTTAATATCACTTAGCTGCATGTGAATTATACATTTTTAAACAACTCCTGGCTCCCAGAAGTAAATCAAAGGATGCGCTTTCCAAATGGGAGACACTTTTGGCTATCTCTAATTTCATCACTCAATATTTAGACTTGCTCAAGAGGAAATCTTTTTTCATTTGTGATATAAGGAGTTTAGTCCAAATGTGCAGTAATGACAATTAGTAAAGTGGGTCACATGGGTTGGTTGTTTTTGTGAACATAAAGAGAATAATTACCCCAATCTAGAGTTCCAATCAGCATTAAAGGGAGTTCCAGTTCGTTATTGAGCCTTTGAGGCTGCTTTTAACACCAAATGAAATTCATGCAATGAATTCATGCAATGAATTTCATTTGGTGTGCAATTATTCATTTGTAATAATTACACATAGTCAATCAACACAACACAACACAAGCCATGAAAGCAAACAACAAGTTGTGATAAATACAGCAACACCCTGCACATGTCCCAACTAATCATCAGATACAGTCACTGACACTGAGCAGAGCGAAGCTGATGCGCAAACATTTAAACTCACAAATAACAAGATTAGATTTAAGTTATCTTTTATTGTAGCATTTCAAATGCAGTGAACTTTTTTTTTTTTTTTTGCTTCAAGTGGTCAAAAGTCATTATCTTTTTGGAAAATATTTTAAAATCCATAAAGATCGACAATCAGATTTTGTGCAGACCTCAGGAGACTTGGGAACATTGTACTTGAGTATATATTCAAACTATTATAAAGAGCATAGAAATTAATGGAATGGTCAGAAAATCTGTTTAATGTCCCCACATTCAAGCTCACAATGTCAAAAAAATCAGTTGTACTTCGGATCGTAACAAGGGTTAAGCAACAGGTCAGACAAGAACAAGTCACAACTCTCTCTTCTATTTCATTTGCTAAATAAAAGGAGGGATGACAGCCAAAAGTGTTCCATATCATAAAGCTGACTGACGGAACAACACTGATCAGAACAGAAGAAAAAAAATGGAAAAACTCACTCCTCATGTGTCCCCATGTGGAAAACTAAATGTGCAGTGAAGGAAAAAAATGGTCCTGTAAGCTTTTTGCTCCCCGATATCCTTCTAGCCTCTCTAGCTTCTCTATTTTCAGTTTTAACATTTCACATGATAGAAAAGGTAACACTAAGTCAGCACTCACAGTTTTCTACCAAGTGATTAAAAATATGTTACTCAGGTCATTTGGAGGTCTGTACAGATGAACTGAGAGAAGACAAACCTTTAAATCTTTACTGCGATGTGCATTTACCTGTATCTGTGTTCCCTAAGCACATCTGCACATCTGTGACTGCAACTTTACCTGCCGCCAGTTTTAAATCTTTCTGTTTAGTCTGAAAATGTCAGGGAACGTATTACACTGCTATAAGATGTAATGGATCACCTACTGTACAGAGAAAAGCACGTAGGGTTATCAACCAGTTCTGCAGAAGTGGTATAAAAATATTCTTCTTTAGGTTTGTGGAAAAATATAAATCAACTCTCAAAATAAAAAAAGAAAGAAAAGAAAAATAAATGAATATGTATTATAACAGGTAGAATTTTGAGCAGCACCGTCTTTGTTGATTATTGATTC